CAGTTAATAATAGCAGATTTTGTAATAAAAGAAAACACAATAATTTCAAGAGAAACATCAAAAGTCCTTTTATTCAAAGTAAAGTCCGTCACTACCTATATATTTCCCCATCCTTCAGGTAACTTGTGGAAACCATCCCAATAGAATTTTTCTTGTTTTGAGGCAAACCATTCAGAGACCCAATTGTCCACTTCTTCCTATGTTTTGAAGTGCTGCTCAGAAAGTGTGTGTGCCATCGATTGAAGCAAGTAGTAATCTGAAGGAGCAAGGTCTGGTGAATACAGTGGGTGGATTAATACTTCCCAGGCAAGATCTTTTAATGACTCTTTTTTAAAAATTTATTTTATTGATTTTTTTTTTACAGAGAGGAAGGGAGAGGGAGAGAGTTAGAAACATCGATGAAAGAGAAACACCAATCAGCTGCCTCCTGCACATCCCCTACTGGGGATATGCCCATAACCAAGGTACATGCCCTTGACCGGAATCAAAACTGGGACCCTTGAGTCCGCAGGCTGACGCTCCTCTATCCACTGAGTCAAACCAGTTAGGGCTTTTTTAACGTGTCTTTAACTGGTTTTGAAATGTGTAATTGTGCGTCATCATGAAGCAAAATCACTTTGCTGTGTCTTCTGGAACATTCTAGTCTTTTCATGATCAAAGCATGGTTCAAATTGATTATCTGTTGTTGGTAGTATTAAAGGTCTCACCTGGTTTTAGAAGCTCATAATACACCACACCTTCCTGATCCCACCAAATGCAGAGCATTCTTCTTTCCGAATCGAATTGACCTTGCAGTTGATGTTGATAATTAATCTGGATCAACCCATGATTTTGTGCATTTGGGATTCTCAAAATAAATCCACTTTTCATCACCAGTCACAATTCGATGGCAAAAAATGACTTTCTTTCATGCCATTGAAGAAACATTTTACTGATGACTTTCGGTTTTCCATTTGTCTTTCGTGCAGTTGATGTGGCACCCATTTTCCTTCCTTTAAAATCTTTCCCATTGCTTGTAAATGATTGGAAATTGTTTGCTGAGCAATGTTTAATCTTTCTGCAAGTTGTTTTTGAGTTTGACACATCCAATAATGTTTGTAATTGTTGGTCTTTAAACTTTTTCTGTTGACCTGGACGTTCTTTGTCTTTCACATCGAAATCATCACTTTTAAAGTGTTTAAACCAGTGTTCACAAGTATCTTGAGATGGAGTATGTTCACCAGAAGCTTCCAGAAGTATTCAGCAGCATTTTTCTTCAAAATAATGAATTATAACTTCCCACAAATGCTTTTTTTTTGGCACGAAATTTGACATTTTTAAGTGTAAAAATATGATATTATTAACATCTTCACATTTGACATGCAGTTTTGAAGCTTGTCAATTCGACAAAATAGCATACATTTCAAATTGCAAATATATCAATATATGTGTAACTCCATCTGTTGAAAAAAATCCGCATTATTAACCAGTACACCTAGTATTCTCATGTGTTCTTTTAAAAATTGTATAGTTTTTAATTCTTACATTTAGATCTGTGATCCACATTGATCCACATTGTATATGGTGTGAGATAGGGATCTAACCTTATTTTTTTTCATATAGATATCCAATGTCTCAGCACCATTTCTTGGAAAAAAACACACACACACTATTGTTTTTCTCTTTAATTGTCTTGCCACCCCTTATCAAAGGGAAGTCTTAATCTTTCCATATGGCTCTGTTTAATGATTTATTCCCTATTCAAATTTCCTCTTCTCTCTACCCCTTCACCCGCACAATCTTCAGAAGAGATGACAGCAAATCCTTTTGGCGATAATATCAGTGGGAAGGAAAGCCTTTAAAAAAAAAAAAAAAGATTTTCTCTCTTTCATAAATCTAGTGCCTCATCTTTCTTCCACTGAGAGCTTAAGTCACAGTCTAGGGCCATGGCCAGGTGGGGGCGGTGTGGAATCACAACCCAGATGAGCCCTGGTAGCCTCCAAACTTCCTAGAGGAGAAGCTTAGTATTTCAGTCACTGCAAATGCATGTGTCACTCAATTGGGCGACTTATCCTGGTTTCAGTGTTTTGTCATCTCTTTGCTATCTCGAACATATTTCTATTTCAACAGTATGAAGCTCCCAATCCCGCTCTCAAATTCCTTCCTAAAGAGGCTGGAAGGAAAAACAGTCAGTGCCAGGTTATTTTTTTTATCTCCTAAGCCTAGTGTCCCGCATCTCCAGTAGATAGATTAGTACTCAGATTTTTCAAGTAACAACCCTAAAGAAACAGCAAGAAAAGTAAAGCAGAGGTTTCCAAGATGACCAAGAAAAGAAGGAATAATGGTCGTGCCAAAAAAGGCCGAGACCATGTGCAGCCTATTCGTTGCACCAACTGCGCCCAGTGCGTGCCCAAGGACAAGGCCATTAAGAAGTTTGTCATTCGAAACATAGTGGAGGCCGCGGCTGTCAGGGACATCTCCGAAGCCAGTGTCTTTGACGCTTATGTGCTTCCCAAGCTGTATGTGAAACTGCACTACTGTGTGAGCTGCGCCATTCACAGCAAGGGAGTCAGGAATCGGTCTCGTGAAGCCCGGAAGGACCGAACACCCCCACCCCAATTTAAGCCTGCGGGTGCTGCCCCACGACCTCCACCAAAGCCCATGTAAGGAGCTAAGTCTTTAAAGAGTGAAGAAAAGTTCTCTGGGGGAAAATAAATGGAAGCTGTATTTCATGTAAAAAAAAAGAAAAGAAAAGAAAAGAAAAGTAAAGCAGAGACATATACTCAGTGCCCTTTGTGGGTACTGAATTAGAGACTGCTAATTGGATTTAGACTGTTCCACATCTCTTAGTTTCCTAAACAGTCTCTCAGTTTGTCTGGTGGGAAGTTAACCTTAATCACCTGCTGAGATTTGAAGCTCTGGAAGAGAATGTCACAGGGCAGGTTGGAGGTTGATTTTATCTTCATTCCAAATATAGATTCCCAGACTGGCAAATTTGTCATACCTTCCGCCAAACAATATGAGCATATATGCTCTGCAGCATAAAGCATAGGACTCTGACCCATTTCTGTCTTATTTAATTTATTCATTCATTGAATATTTACTGAGCACCAGCTGTGTGCCAGGCATTGTGCTAGATGTTTAATGTTGTTTTATTATATAAATGTTGTAAGATTCCTCTAAAATTTAGTCACTCTTTCAACAAACATTTATTGTACGCCTACAATGTACTATTCCTAGGTACTGTGCTAAGTGCTAAGAAAGGTATTATTTTTTTCTCTGATGAGAGATTATAGCTTCCCTAAAATCATTCAGAATCATAAGTGGTCAAAGTAGGATTCCAAACCATGTTTTTGTAAAACTTTTGGTTTTTATACTTTTACCTGTATTAGATTCAATTGTTATGGAATTCTTTACAATCAATAAGTTATATGAAAAGAAAACATTGATTTCTATTACGCTATCATACACACAAATGTTTGTTTTGTCATGTTACTTCTCATCCAAGGATATTTTTTTCATCGATTTTCTTTTTTTCTTTTTTTAATATATTTTTATTGATTTCAGAGAGGAAGGAAGAGGGAGAGAGATAGAAACATTAATGATGAGCTTCATTGATCTGCTGCTTCCTCTACGCCCCCTACTGAGAATCAAGCTCACAACCTGGCATGTGTCCTTGACCGGAATTGAACTTGGGGCCTTTTGATCTATCTACTGAGCCAAACCAGCTAGGGCTCCATTGATTTTCTTTAGAGAGTGGAAGCGGGGGGTGGAGAAAAACAAAACAAAACACCACTGTGAGAGAGACACATCAATTGGTTGCTTCCTGCATGTATCCCAACCAGTTGAGGATTGAATCTGTAACCAAGGTATATGTCCTTGACCAGGAACTGAACCCATGACCCTTCAGTGCATGGGCCTGCACTATAACCACTGAGCAGCTCTGGCCAGGGCCACATACACATTTTAATAAACGTTTTATTTTGGAATAATTTTAAGAATTACAAAAGAAATGCTCCTCAACCTATTTTCTCTATCTTACATTACCATGATATATTTAACACTTATTTGTGATGTCTCCCAAGGCTGGGGCCTTGGCCTGGCACCACTGGCATCCCCCGCTACTCACCCCAGTTCCCCGTTCACTATCCAGCAATGAGAGCCTGCCGGCTGGGAGAAAGGGACCAAGAGATGGTCAATGCACTTCATAGTGACTGGTCGAGCGGTCGTACTGATCATTCTGCCATTATGGTTGCTGGACTTTTATTATATAGGATAGACTCATACTAAACTCTTACTATATAGTATCTAAAATCTGTGATTTTTCTGCTATCCCAGAAAAGAAACAGCAAGGACCTATATCAAGGCATTGGTTTCAGAGAAATTTATTTATTTCAGATTTCAGAGATTTTTTTCAGAGGTAGATTTGATAAGACTTAGTGACCTTGAACGTGAAGAAATAAAGGAGAGGGAGTATTTGAAAATGACACTCAGATTTTGGTTTCAATGGCTGGAAATAAAATTTTGATTTGAAATACTAACTAACAAGTATGAAGATTGATTCTAGGCTTTGATAAAGCTCACCTTCGTCAGAGATTGCATTTAGCATACGTATAGGTCCAGAGTGCCCTGTTCTTACCTTGGAGCTCTTCAGAGCAGAGCCAACTACTTTCCATCCTAACTGAAACACCAGGGCCCCCTAGTGGACAGCCCACTGGGTCCTGTTTCTTGTCTGAAGGATGCTTGGTTTTGTTTTTTGTTTGGTTGTGAGGTTTTCTCTAGTTCATTTGCAAAGCAGAGATGCTTAATTCTATTGTCTCTAATAAATTATTAAATTCTTCCCTCTTCAGGGTTATCAGTTCACCCTCATATGATCTCATGTTCAGAAAGGAGACAATTACCCTCCGACAATCACTCCCATGCCCTCGCACTCCAACCCAGAGAGTACACAATACTTGTTTTTAACTTATTTCTTCTTTTTTTCCATCCAGTGCTATATTAATGTTAATTCTTTGTTTCAGAGCCATCATCAACCACTTTAACCCCAAAATTGAATCCTATGCTGCTGTGAATCATATATCCCAACTGTCTGAGGAGCAGGTAAGCTACTATTCTCCCTAGAGTGACCCTGCTTGGTGGCTGGGATCAAGTAGTTGCCCTGTCTCTGATGGCAGAGGGATTCTGTGACTGAGCTTCTAGTGGGAGTGGCAAGAGCTAGGCTGCTAAGAGGAATCAGTAAGGGATTTGTTGATAGTACTTTAAATAGCAATGGCTTCAGCTTTTGTGCCATATGAGAGGTTTGTTAAATTATATAGAAGATACGTAGGTGAAAATTTGGAGAATTCTTATTTTAGAGTGGGTGATAAGGCATTTCTTTTCTTTTTATTTTAGGCAGAGAGTCATTTTGATTTTTGAAAATAAGAAATGAAATCTTAGAAATGGATGAAACTACCAATTAGAAAAACCCTGAGTTCAGCTTAATTTGATGCTGTTTGGCTTGTTAAAACATGAGCCTTCATTGGTGCAGATTTTCCTTAGTAATTGAGTTCTGTATGCTTTGAACAACTATTTCTGAGCAGATCTTTTTATGGTATGGACTGATTGGAGATGCAGATAGCATTTTGGGTTTGTTTTCCTGGAGTCTGGACTGATTTCCCCACTTCCCAAAGTGCCTGCACTTGGCTCTGCATTATATAAAAATAGAGATGGGACTTTAGCACATGGTTTGGGCTTGAACTTGGTTTCAGAATGAGACTCTTGAGTCCTTTTCTTTATTTAAAAAAATTTTTTTAATTGATTTCAGAGAGGAAGGGAGAGGGAAAGTGAGAAACATCAATAATGAGAGAGAATAATTGATTAGCCCCACACTGGGAATCGAACCCATAACCCGGGCATATGCCCTGGCTGGAATTGAACTGTGATCTCCTGCTTTATAGGTTGACACTCAACCACTGAGCCATGCTGGCCTGGTGAGTCCTATTTTTGAAAGGACAACATGAGACATCCTATTCACATAATCTCCCTTCTTTCTCACTTTATTCTTAAGTTGGAGGGCCAAGGTATGCATGAGGTGAGAGTCCAGATATATAGGCCCCAAGCCAATTTTTAAAAGCCCACATATACTCTGCTCTGCCTTTTTTGCCAGTGCACCAGTGTAACCCTTCTTCGAACCTCTTGCTAGCCAGACTAGCCAGCTACAGTGTGACCAAGTGTTCCAGTGTTCCTAAAAGCTGTTCAGCTCTTCCAGTGAGGCACCCAGCAAGCCTTTTTCCTAACAGACAAGCTTCTCAGTATTCCAACCAGTGGCTCTTTTTCAGCCAGATGGATAGGACTCTATTAGCAAATCAGTTGTTCCCTGTAACATATTGGTTCTCTTTTGTGAGGCCACCAGTGAGAGTCCATCCTGTTATTTAAACTGCCTTTATAAATGGCTTCATTTTCTTTCTTTTTTTCTATTCTGCCTGTGGAGCATTCCTTAATCCTGTTTGATACCACTGCTGTCTGTGAGGTACTTCAAGATGCTACCTTTTTCCTGATGGACCAATTCAGATTGGTTTTTACTACATACCATTTTCATACAAAAGAATACAGCATCTTGAGTTTTGTTCACTTAGAGAAAGGGTGACTTTCCTACCACAGAGAGCTCTGGTTAGTCTAAAAGTTTGTTTATTTATTTTTTTTTTTTAAAGGAAGAGCTTTTCTCTGTCAGCCATGTGCAGTGTTCATTCCCGATAGCTTGGGAAGGTCAGGCTGAACTCTTCCTACAGCCGTAGCAGCCACAGACCAATAATAAAAATCTATTCTGGCGCATGAGGCAATCTGGAAAAGGATGATTAGTAAGCACATGTCCTCACCCTCCCCCAACTTTTTTTCAAAGTTAAATGAAGTGATGAAAGTGCTTCTCAAAAAGAGTCTGCAAACCAGAGATGAGGCAGTTTCTATGAGGGAGAGCAGATAGTTCTGTTTGAGAATGGGGAAGGGATAACAGCTCTCTAAGGTTTGTTTAGTCAATAAATAATCACAGGCCTACTGTATACAATGTGTGGTGCCGGGTAATGGGGATCTGTGGTGAGTGATCTAAGTGTCGTCCTCATTCTACAGAGTTCTTGTATACTCGTTAATTCTCTTACCAATCCTTTTCCCTTGGGAATGGGGGAAGGGTGAAACTATTCTGGGACCCTTTGCAAAACTGCTCTCAAAATAGTTGTTGCTTCTCTCCCCTAACTGACTTTGAAGGGCATTACATGATAGTTTAGGGTACACTTAATTTTATTCTCAGCACTATCAGAATTGAAGTATTTGACTGTCTTGTTAATCTCCAACATGTGTTGGAACACTTCTCTCTCTTCACTTAGGAACATTCATGCTAACATCACTTAACGTTAAGTGTATTCACAAATTCCCAAAAAGTGACTTTGAGATGCAATTGTTAGCAGCAAACTAAGTAGAAAGAAAAAAATCGATAACTTAATCCCCAAGTAGATTCTAAAGGACTCCTAAAATAAACTAAAGACCATAAACAGGTGTTAACTAGAATCTATAGCACCTAGTAAGATAGTGGACAAGAGAAGGCTTTTTGTTAGATCTGCCTGCCCAGTCTGCCATTTTTTTTTTCTATCTTTTTGATAGATTTGTGGGTTTTTGAGCTCTGATAACCCCAGACACATTCCAGCCTCTTTTTGGAGCATTGCAAGATGATGCTTGTAAATCCCTTGCTTATTAAACAAAGTCCATTATCTCACATGGGGTTGTTGTTGTTTGTTTGTGGTTTTGCTTTTTTTGTTTTTGTTTTAGTTATCCAGAAGATAGATGATATTTTTCTGTTAGTTCTTATTGGCTTCATAGAGGGCAAACCTTTTTAATCAGTTAATATACCCTCTGCATGACTGAATGTGCATTTTTTTAATGTAATAAACTGCATGCATTTTTATATTGTATACATAGGCGTCATATTTGAAGTTGATTGTGAAGCTTGTTCATCTTGACCCCTTTTCTGTGCATGATAAAATATATGTAAATTTACCATTTTAACCATTTTTTGTGTACAGTTCATTAGCGTTAAGTCTATTCACATTTTGTGGACCATCACCACTATCCATCTCCTGAACTTTTCATCTTCCCAAACTGAAATTCTATACCCATTAAAGAGTAACTCCCTATTTTCCTCCCCTTCCCCAGCCCCTAGTAACCATGTTTTACTTTCTGTATTTGTGTATTAGATTATTCTAGGTGGCTCATATAAGTGGAATCATGCAATATTTCTCCTTTTGTATCTGGTTTATTTCACTTAGCATAATGTCTTCAAGGTTCAACCATGTTGAAGCATGTACCAGAATTTAATTCCTCTTCAAAACTGAATAATATTGTAGTGTGTGTGTGTGTGTGTGTGTGTGTGTGTGTAGAGTGAGAGCACATTTTGTTTATTCATTTACGTATCAGTGGACATTTAGATTGTTTGCACCTTTTGGCTATTTAAAGAATGTTGCTATGAACATTGATGTGCAAATAGCTATTTGAATTCCTGCTTGCAGTTCATATAATATATATCAAGAATTTAAATTGCTGAATCAAATGGTAATTCTGCTTAAGTTTTTGAGAAACCACCATACTATTTTCCATAGTGGTTGTACCATTTTACATCCCAATTTCTCTACATTCTCATCAACACTTGTTTTCTGTTGTTTGCATATATATATATATATATATATATATATATATATATATTTACATCCATCCTAATGGTTGTGAAGTGCTATCTCATTGTGGTTTTGATTTGCATTTCTCTAATCATTATTAAAATTGAGCATATTTTCATGTGCTTATTGGTCATTTGCATATCTTCTTGGGAGAATGTCTATTCAAGCCTTTTGCCTGTTTTTTTTTTTTTAATATATTTTATTGATTTTTTACAGAGAGGAAGGGAGAGATATAGAGAGCTAGAAATGTTGATGAGAGAGAAACATCGACCAGCTGCCTCTTGCACACCCCCTACTGGGGATGTGCTCGCAACCAAGGTACATGCCCTTGACCGGAATCAAACCTGGGACCTTTCAGTCCGCAGACTGACGCTCTACCACTGAGCCAAACCGATTTCGGCTTTTTGCCCGTTTTTTTAATTGGGTTGTTTGGGTTTTTTGTTATTGAGTTCTAGGAGTTCTTTCTATATTTTGGATATTAATTCATCTTCAGATATGTGATTTGCAAATATTTTCTCCCATTCTGTGAGTTGCCTTTTTTATTTTTTTGACAGTGTCCCTTCATGCACAAAACTTTAATTTTTATGCAGTCCTACTTCTCTATTCTTTTGTTGCCTGCCCTTTCTTAACTTTTTAAATTGATTTCAGAGGAAAAGGAGAAAGATAGAAAATTATTGTTTGGCTGCCTCCTGCACACTTTTTACTGAGAATCAAGCCAGCAACTTCAGTATGTGTCCTGACTGGAAATCAAACTGTGAACTCCTGGTTCATAGGTTAATGCTCAACCACTGAGCCAGACTGGCTGACCTGTTGCCTACCCTTCTGATGTCATATCTAAGAAATCATTACCAAATGCGATGTCATGAAGCTTTTCTCCTATGTTTTCATCTAAGAGTTACATAGTTTTAGCTCTTATATTTAAGTCTTTGATCCATTTTAAGTTAATATTTGTATGTGGTAATATAAGTAATTTGTATGTGGTAATATAAGTAATTTGTATATGATAATAATATAAGGGTATTTGGCCATTTTGTATTTCACATATCTTTATGAATCACGATTAAGGAGAAAATGCAGCTTGTTTTTCCAAGAACTGTGAAACTACTCCCCAGTTTGTTTCCTACTGGGTTTGCTTATCTCTAGTACATCTTGTAAAAATTGCCCTTCAGGCTCCTTGCCCATCCTCAGCTTAGATTTAGTTCCTTTCTCTTCCCAGTATGGCTTGTTGGTAAGGACCTGTCCTTAGCTGGACAATCATTTGATATGCTTCTCCTCCCACTAGTGGCCTGATTTTCATTCTCCTAGTATGAGGATAGCTGAGTCACCAACCTGTGTTTCATAAATGTGACCCTTTGTCTGTACTAAATAAATGTAGATGGAAAGTATTTAAGAGAAACTCTTAGA